CTGTAATGTCTTCGGTGGGCATTCGTCGCTACAACTATATTTTTATAGTTATTCTCATCGTCATCTGTAAAACTAGCTGGATATTTCTTAAACAAAAGCTCATATAAACCTGGTGTTCCCCTGTACCTTTTCTTTGCTAAAATAATATCAGCACCATCTAAATTTATTTTAGAATTCCCAATCAGTAGCTTTTTAGAGTTTCATCAAATCTAATTCCATATTTATGATCAAATTCTTTGTTGAAAACATCAGCTTGCATATTTGTAATATATTTCCTAGGTAATGAATCATATTGATCCCAGTAGTCTGCACGCGCTTGGTTAGCAATATCTTCAAATCGATTTTCAGAATCATTTTTAATCTGTTCTTTTATATCATCCACTTCAATGTTGTCCAATATCGATTGTTTGATTTCACTTGTTTCAAAGTCAGTAGTTTCATCACCATCATCATCTTTTTTTATGTACCCTAAAGGTTCATAGTTTTTTGTTTCATTTTCTGGACTAGAATTTTGTGAACTATTTAACTTACTCTCTATATTTTTCAAGTGTTTTGTAATTGGAGTAAATAAATCTTCTTGGATTATTTGTCCTTGTTTTAATTGTCTTAATTTACTTAGGATGTTTCTGCGTTTAGTTATAAGTTGTCTTTTCAAACCTCTATTCATCGTAAAATGTAGGTATATAATCAATCAGCTTTAGATCAGGTCTCGAACAGGTTCTGATCAGGTCTCGAACAGGTCTTGATCAGGTCTCCAACAGGTCTTGATCAGGTCTCGAACAGGTCTTGATCAGGTCTCGAACAGGTCTTGATCAGGTCTCGAACAGGTCTTAATCAGGTCTCGAACAGGTCTTGATCAGGTCTCAAACAGGTCTTGATCAGGTCTCGAACAGGTCTTGATTAGGTCTCGAACAGGTCTTGATCAGGTCTCGAACAGGTCTTGATCAGGTCACGATCAGGTTCTGATCAGGTCTCGAACTGCTTTCAAAAAGACTTGGTACTAGTCTAATCCAACTTATGTTCAACATCAACAAGGTTATGAAAATATTTATTGTGTACAGGGTGTTAAATAAGAATAAACTTTTTTTTATCTTTTTATTTATACTAAAACCCACAATACAGATTTACTATGAACTACAGTTAAAACATTTGAACTACATTGGTTAGAGGATTATAATTAACAATACGGTCATGTATAATTATACAATAAGCAGTTGTGTTAGCTGGTATATTCTTTGTAGTTTCTATTTCTATTCTCATATCAACACTTCCTGATTTAATTGATTTATTTTGTCTGCTGCAATCAATAACAAGTATAGAAGAAACAGCACAGAATTGTAACATAGTTAGACATGGATCACCAACAGATTTGTAATAGTACGACGGTTGAAATTGTGCATACATTTCATATATAATGGCATATTGTCTTTTACTAAAGTTCAAGTTTAAATTGTCATACGGGTACATTTCAGAATTTAGAAATAGTTTTAAGTTTGTAATATTACAGTTATCAAAATAGCTGGTGTCTTCTTTTATTGCATTCTTTTTAGCAGTTTGTACTGCAAACAACACAAATCGTGGTCTCTCTAATAGGCTGGTAGTTTTTACATTCCAGTTAAATTTCATTGTCTGAGGCAGTAGAGGAATTTCATGATATTCCCAGCTTCTATATGCAAGCTCTAAATTGGATCCATTTTCAATAAATTTATATAAACGTAATTTTTCTGAATCAGACACTTGAATATGAGGCATTTTTCACATTAATTTAAATATTTCCACTTTTGGTTTTTCAGTTTCTACTGTGGATATTACTGCATTTAAATCTGTTGAACTTCTTATCAATACGAGTTCTTGGCGTATGTTAATTAGAATTTTGGTGAAATCTTCACAAAACCCAAGTACAAGTTTGAGTGGAATGCAAACATTAAAATTTTCTGATTTATCAGCAACAGTTGGTGTGTCAGTAATACTCCAACCTATACAGTTGATTCGATTAGATTCAGTTTGTGTGAACGAAGCATAGTTTTTGATTGTCGTTGTTAGACCTACATTTCTCACTCTATCTATTACACAGCCTCCAATTTCATAGCGTATTTCATCAAATAAATGCATCAGACCATTATTAACAAAGTGTAAAGTATTGCTTTCTTTCCCATCATTCGTTAAACGTCCTTCAATATACAAATAACTCTCAGAAGGTAGCGTGTATATATCTTGAGTGTGAATTGGTAATCGTATTTCGTCACAGTGATTAAAAGTTGCATTAGCATAGGGTAAATGACTGTGCATTTCTCGACTAACAACTGAATTGTCAACCAACACACGATCTGCAACATTTAAAATGTTAAAACTCATATTCACTCTTCTTACAAGTACACCTCAAGAAAATGCCAAGTATTCTAGTATTAATATAAAACTTTATTCTACACCAAGTATTTCTTTTCTTTTTCCCTGTCACTGTCGTTATGTTTTATTTTAAATCTTAGTGAGGTTAAAAAGACTTTGTTTTCTGTTGTTAACGGCTTGAGCGTCTGCTTATCACTAATGTTTTTATCAAAACTTTTAATATTATATAAACTGTCCATACTTGGATTAAATTTGCTACAGTTGTATATAACAACCATTGTTTATACTTTTTTTAAATGTAGTCTTAACGTAATAACTTCTCGTGTGAAATTGACAAGATTACCGTCCTGATCGACTATTTTAATAAAAATTTCATCAATGTATCTATTGGTGACAGGTAAATAAATTACTTTTTTTGGAATTTCAACAATTTTGTAACCTGGTAAAACATTTGGATAAAACATGTGGATAATATGACCTTGATTTTCATTGACGTATGGGTTAGTGATTAGATTACATTCCACACAAATTGAGTTAACCTTTGTGATATGCACAGGATTCTCAGCTACGTGAGTCTTTAAAGGTGAGAGTCGTTTTGATGTAAATCCCAATAAGGGAGCAATGGTATTTGGTTTTTCAAAATGGATTATTTTGTTACTTTTTATTTCACATTTGAGTGTATTGTTATTAATTCTCATTATTAGACTTGTAGGTTGATCCATATTATGCTGTTTTCTAGCTTTTGCGTTTCCTCCTTGAGTAACTAAATTCTGCTTCTTTGTATTTTTATCAATGTCTGTCTCATCTTTTTTTGGTGTTTGATCTAATTTTAATTCCAACTCGGTTATTTTTTCAGTTAAATAATTTGAAAGATCTTCCACCTCATACGAACCTTCTGGAATTGTGATATCATAACCATCTATATGAAACTTGTTGTTTGTTTGGTCTACATTTGGAATTGTATTGTATGACATAAAATCTATTAAAACTAGTACATACTGTTCATTTTCATTTAAAATAATTGGAGGATATATTTTGGTTGATAACACTGACTCTCTTCTAGATAACACAAAAGTGTACGACATGTTGATCGTGCAATAACCAGAAAGTAAATAAAAAACAAATATTTTAAACACATTATTTATTTAAAAAATCTAAACACAATTGTCCACAATTTACAGTATTATAAGTTTGATAAATTTTATGATTATATACAATTTGACAATAGCCGTTGGAATTAAAGTATGATATAGCTTCCAACGGTGGTCTCAGATTACCAAAACTATCAAAGTACACCACTTTGGATTTATTCTTCTTGTAGGCTGTCCAATGAGTTCCGGGTCCTTCTTTATTGTCTAAATTAATAATTCCACTCTCATGTTGCCAAATTGTTTTCGGAAAATTATTTCTCATAAATACAGCCCTAAAATGGGGGATTTTCAATAATTTTGCATATTTTTGTAAATCTACATTTGTCAAGGCATGTTTTGGAATCTTTATTTGATCATTCATAAAAAAATACCCATTCCACTTTTGTATGGTTTCAAGTACAAACCATGTCCAATTGCCAATGCTTCCATTTTACGATTATGACGTTGTTTTTCGAGTAAATCTTCTTTAGCTGCTTTTGCGTCATTAATCGTCTTTACGATGGCCGATGTACCCCCCGCGATGGTTCCGAGGGCGCTCAAACCTGAAAATATGAGTATTAGGGGTAATATACCCCAGTTTTTGGAACTTGGATTACTCGACCACGTGGTTTTTTAATTTTCTTGTAAGATTTGACAATTCGTAATGCTTGTTGAATAGCTTCCTTTAAATTTTTCGGTTTGATTTCCAACAGTTTCTTCCTAATGTCTCTAATTACTCTTAGTAAACTAAAAGACTTTTGCTTTGAAATTTTACGACCTTTTGTTTTGGAGGGGGAGGATGAAGTAACCTTTCTTTTGGTGGTCGTCTTTTTCTTATTACCAACCATCTTGACTGCTATCAACCAACTACCCACAATACACACAACAACAAGTCTTTTATCTAATTAAATAAAACATCATTAGAACATACAGCATATATTAATAATTAAATACATAGACAATTTTAACATTACTGTCTTCTAATGTCTTCGATTGGAAATGGTAGCTGTCTCCTTCTCAATGGGTAATCGGCATTTCTATGGGGTTCTATATGGTTAAGCCTCCCTAGTTGTTCTGCTTGAAAGCCCTCATCTCTTTGCCGATACCGACTGAATTCTCTCGTGAAGAGTCTTGTACTGGCATTCTCTCTTTGCTTATTATGGAATTCAACAACACAACTCTTAACTCCCATTTCACTGTTATCTTTCACTGATATTAACAACGTTACAGATCAGACTGAATTAGTTATTGGTATATGTGTGTAATATATATATATATATATATATATATATATATATATATATATATATATATATATATATATATATAGTATCAAAATAAAAAAACAACTTTGTTTTGCGTTAACCTCCATTTACGTCAAAGCTTAACCCTAGATAAAGAAACATGTATTTTTTAATTTAATACAATTTATTTATATCTTAGCTTTTTTCTTAACTGGATCATCATCATCCTCATCTTCATTGGCTCGTTTTCTTTTTTGAGTATTATTGTTTAATGAATCATTTAAGTTGATTTTTGTTTTTTGACACCAACTAAATTGTCATCAATTATTTTTCGTTTTTCTCTTCTTTTGGACAGAAGGTCATCACCAACAAAATCATCAGTAATGTCCATATCCATTTCTAATTGTTTTGCTCTTTTGTGATTTAAAAGCTTTTGTTGTATTTTTTGCTTATTTTTTACATTTTGTTTGCGTTTTCTTAATTTGGAAATAGGTAATCCTTGGAGTAATAAAGTACAATGGTCTATATTTTCAGTTAGTTTTTCTACATTATTTTTAGCTTTGTTCATTTCTTTACTACAACTTTTTGTCACAGCTTTATAATTAGTAGAACCCAAACCCATACCTAATTTCACTTTTGCTTTCATTGCACCAGCTACACCAAGTGCTGCCATTTTTTCTGAAAATGCTGTATTTTTTTATCGAAACTGTTCAAGAGCTTTTTCAGCTAGAATCTTATCAGCCTTATGTCGTTCAGATAGATCTTTATTTTGAGAATATGCAATATCTTGTTCACGACACGCCTCATCTAATCCATTTATTCCCCTATCTCCTCGTGCTAGCCGTTTCTCTAGTTTGGTGCCGGGTCCACAAAATCTATAACCTCCAGGGATGTGCATTTCAAATGGTAATTTATTAATGGCAGCGCTTAACATATTGTTAGCGTGCTCGTAAACTGTATACAAATTAATAAATAATTATTCTATGTATAAGTCTTTATATATTTTTTCTCCTCCTCCTCACATTTCACCAAACATACTGCTTGGTATATTTTTAGCACCAGATTTGGATTTCAAATATTCTATGGAGTCACAGTTTATACAATTCGTATTAGGTATTTCAGTCTCCCCACCACACTTTGGACATTTATACTTTACTGGTACGGGCATACTTATTTTTGGATAAATAGATGACTTGGGTTATTTTTGTCACCACCAAATTGTTGGAATACCTTTTTTAAGTAACAATTTACACAAAGTGTATTTGGAGTATTAGTTTCACCACCACACTTTGGACATTTATGTTTCACAGGTACAGGCATATTCAAAGGGTAAAGTAATAATGAACTTTATGTTATATTTACAGCTACTTTATTTATATTTTTTAATACAATTAGATTATTTTTGTAGTCTCTGCCTCTTTACATACATTCTACTTGGTATATTTTTAACACCACTCTCTTTCTTGTACATTTCTTCCAATTCACAATTTATACACAAGTCATTTCGTTCTTCAGTGTCACCACCACACTTTGGACATTTATGTTTCACAGGAACAGGCATATTTATTTTTCTCACTCACACTTTCTTTCTTGATTCTCAGAAAAATAGGATAAACTCTTTCTACAAAGGCACATTCAGGACTAAATTTTTTGTGATCTTCAATTACATTATCATTTGATTCCCATTTGTAAATCTCTACACCACACTTGAAACACTTTACTATATCTTCCACTTGGAGAAAGTAGAATCCACAGGCAGCTAACTCTATTTTAGATTTCTTCCCCTTCCAATTTGTAAAAGTTGAGAGCCTTGAATAAAAATCATCTAGCTTTAGCATGTGCACCTCAAGACACATCTTGCTGACTGACAAATAACATAAATCTTATTCCTCTTTATACAAAAGTTTCTCCAACAAGACACGTCTTGGACGACAAAATAAATAAAAAATACTAGCTAATGGTACAAAAGTTATTATTTTTTTAATGTAAAACTTAATGAGTACAAATTAGACTAATCTGGCTAGGCTAGGCTGGGCTGTGTAGTTAGGGCTAAGCAACAAGTCCGTACAAACTTTTTACCAAACGAGATCACCCTGTACAACTTTCGTGAAAGAAGAGGAGATCTAGAGATAAGCAATGAGTTTTGCACTCGACATACAGGGTAGAGCGTCCTCTGGTCCTGCGTGGGTGGGACATAGGTGGGACAAAGAAGTGACAGGTGGAACAAAGAAGTGACACAGGTAGAAGAAGTGACAACAGGTAGGTTAGACAAAGAAGTGACAACAGGTAGGTAGAAGAAGTGACAAAGAGTAGGTAGGTTAGACAAAGAAGTGACGTAGGTGACAGGCGGGCGGGAAAGAAGAAGAGATCTAGAGATAAGCGATGAGTTCTTACGGTCCTCTGGTCTTGGCTTCAACTACCTCTTCTGGTCATTGTCGATCACTTCTTGTACTTCTGAGGTGGAACATAGGAATGACAACAGGTAGGTAGGTGACACAGGTAGAAGAAGTGACAAAGAGTAGACAGGTTAGACAAAGAAGTGACGTAGGTGACAGAGGGGCGGGAAAGAAGAAGAGATCTACAGATAAGCGATGAGTTCTTACAGTCTTCTGGTCATTGGCAGTTGCTTCTTGGCTTCAACTACCCCTTCTGGTCATTGTCGATCACTTCTTGTACTTCTTGTACGCCCTCAAGGTCAAACTAGGCCATCCGTACGTTTGCATGGAGACCCTGATGGACAGGTTACCAAAGTGGGTTTGTACCCCGCCTGCTTATCTGATGATTTTTTCCAAATTTTTATTAAAAAAATATTTTTTTTATGCTTTGGTACAAGCACTTGTTCCAACTTATTACAAAAATGTGTTTTCGTCTGATCGGCTAACCCAAATTTGAAGGGAAAGAGAAAAAATCGAATTAAAAGTTCTCAAATTTTTTAGCAAACACAGACCTCCAAATGAAAATTTTTCTCACGAACCGTTAGATGCAGGAAAATTTTGAGCATGGCAGACGAACGAGCGATCAATTTTATGTAAGAAATGTCCACTTGCTTGGCTCTCGGACCAAAATTGACGCCAAAATAACCGAATAACGAAATTTGAAAAAAATCCAAAGGTACCCCCTTTGATGATTTATTCCAAATTTTTATTAAAAATTTTTTTTTTTTATGTTTTGGTACAAACTCTCGGTCCAGCTTATTACAACAATGTGTCTCAGTCTGATCGGCTAACCAAAATTTGCCGGAAAAACGAAAAAATCCAATTAAAAATTCTCCAATTTTTCAGCAAATACAGACCTCCAAATGAAAATTTTTCTTACGAACCGTTAGATGTAGGAAAATTGCGAGCATGGCAGAAGAACAAGCGGTCAATTTTATGTAAGAAATGTTCACTAGCTTGACTTTCGGACAAAAATTGACGCCAATATAGCCGAATAACGAAATTTGAAGAAAATCCAAGGGTACCCCTATGGATCATTTTTTTCAAATTTTTATTAAAAAAATATCATTTTTATGTTTTGGTACAAGCACTGGTTCCAGCTTATTACAAAAATGTGTCTTCGCCTGATCGGCTAACCCAAATTTGCCGGGAAAGAGAAAAAGTCGAATTAAAAATTCTCCACTTTTTCAGCAAATACACACGTCCAAATGAAAATTTTTCTTACCAACCGTTAGATGTAGGAACATTCTGAGCATCGCATAAAAACGAGCGGTCAATTTTATGTAAGAAATCTCCACTTGCTTGACTCTCGGACGAAAATTGACGCCAATATAGCCGAATAACGAAATTTGAAAAAAATCCAAGGGTATCCCTTTGATGATTTTTTCCAAATTTTTATTAAAAAAATATTTTTTATGTTTTGGTACAAGCACTCGGTCTAGCTTGTTACAAACATTTGCCTTAGTCTGATTCTCGAACCCAAATTTGCCGGAAAAACGAAAAAATCTAATTAAAAATTCTCCACTTTTTCAGCAAATACAGACCGCCAAATGAAAATTTTTCTCATGAACCGTTAGATCTAGGAAAATTCTGAGCACGGCAGAGGAACGAGCGGTCAATTCTATGTAAGAAATGTCCACTCGCTTGACTCTCGGACGAAAATTGACGCCAATATAGTCGAATAACGAACTTTGAAAAAAATCCAAGGGTATACATTGGATGATTTTTTTAAAATTTTTATTAAAAAAATATTTTTTTTATGTTTTTTTTACAAGCACGTTCCAGCTTATTACAAAAATGTGTCTAAGTCTAATGCGCTAACCCAAATTTGCAGGGAAAGAGCAAAAAATCGAATTAAAAGTTCTCCACTTTTTCAGCAAACACAGACCTCCAAATGAAAACGAACCTTAGAAATAGGAAAATTCTGAGCAAGGCAGAAGAACGAGCGGTCAAATTTATGTAACGCCAATATAGCTGAATAACGAAATTTGAATAAAGTCAAAGGGTACCCCCTTTGATGATTTTTTCCAAATTTTTATTACAAAAATTTTTTTTTTATGTTTTGGTACAAGCACTTGGTCTAGCTTATTGCAAAAATGTGTCTTAGTCATATCGGCTAACTCAAATTTGCCGAGAAAGAGAAAAAATCGAATTAAAAATTTTCCACTTTTTCAGCAAACACAGATCTCCAAAGTAAAATTTTTTTCACGAACCTTAGAAGTAGGAAAATTCTGAGCACGGCAGAAGAATAAGCGGTCAATGTTGTGTAAGAATTGTCTGCTCGATTGACTCTCGGACCAAAATTGACGTCAATATAGACGAATAACGAAATTTGAAAAAAATCCAAGGAAGCATCTTTGATAATTTTTTCCAAATTTTTATTAAAAATTTTTTTTTTATGTTTGGGTACATGCATTCGGTCCAGCTTATTACAAACATGTGTCTTAGACTGATCCTTGAGTCCACTTTTTCAGCAAATACAGACCTCCAAATGAAAATTTTTCTCACGAACTGTTAGCTCTAGAAAAATTCTGAGCAAGGCAGAAGAACTAACGTTTAATTATTATGTAAGAAATGTTCACTGGCTTGACTCTCGGACAAAAACTGACGCCAATATCGCCGAATATCGAAATTTGAAAAAAATCCAAGGGTACCTCCTTTGAAATTTTTTCCAAATTTTTATTAAAAACAATTTTTTTTTATATTTTGGTACATGTGATCGGTCCAGCTTATTACAAACATGTGTCTTAGTCTTATACTCGAACCCAAATTTGCCGGAAAAGAGAAAAATTCGAATTAAAAATTCTACTCCTTTTCAGCAAATACAGACCTCCAAATGAAAATTTTTCTCACGAACTGTTAGATCTAGGAAAATCCTCAGCAAAGCAGAAGAACGATAGGAAAATATGTAAGATATGTCCACTCGCTTAAATCTCGGACGAAAATTGACGCCAATATAGGCGAATAACGAAATTTGAAAAAATCCAAAGGTACCCCTTGGATGATTTTTTTCAAATTTTTATAAAATTTTTTTTTATTTTTTGGTACAAGAACTCGGTCTACCTTATTACAAAAATGTGTCTTAGTGTGATCGACTAACCCAAATTTGCCATGAAAGAGAAAAAATCGAATTAAAATTTTCCACTTTTTCAGCAAACACAGGAATCCAAATGAAAATTTTTCTTACGAACTGTTAGATCTAGGAAAATTCTGAGCAAGGCAGAAGAACGAGCGGTCAATTTTATGTAATGCCAAAATAGCCGAATAACGAAATATGAAATTTAAAAAAAATCCAAGGGTACCCCCTTTGATGATTTTTTCCAAATTTTTAATGAAAAAATATTTTTTTTTATGTTTTTGTACAAGCGCTCGGTCCAGCTTATTACAAAAATGTGTCTTAGTCTGATTCGCTAACTCAAATTTGCCGAGAAAGAGAAAAAATCGAATTAAAAATTTTCCACTTTTTCAGCAAACACAGATCTCCAAAGTAAAATTTTTTTCACGAACCTTAGAAGTAGGAAAATTCTGAGCACGGCAGAAGAATAAGCGGTCAATGTTATGTAAGAATTGTCTGCTCGATTGACTCTCGGACCAAAATTGACGTCAATATAGACGAATAACGAAATTTGAAAAAAATCCAAGGAAGCATCTTTGATAATTTTTTCCAAATTTTTATTAAAAATTTTTTTTTTATGTTTGGGTACATGCATTCGGTCCAGCTTATTACAAACATGTGTCTTAGACTGATCCTTGAGTCCACTTTTTCAGCAAATACAGACCTCCAAATGAAAATTTTTCTCACGAACTGTTAGCTCTAGAAAAATTCTGAGCAAGGCAGAAGAACTAACGTTTAATTATTATGTAAGAAATGTTCACTGGCTTGACTCTCGGACGAAAACTGACGCCAATATCGCCGAATATCGAAATTTTAAAAAAATCCAAGGGTACCTCCTTTGAAATTTTTTCCAAATTTTTATTAAAAACAATTTTTTTTTATATTTTGGTACATGTGATCGGTCCAGCTTATTACAAACATGTGTCTTAGTCTTATACTCGAACCCAAATTTGCCGGGAAAGAGAAAAAATCGAATTAAAAATTTTATGTATGAAATGTCCACTCGCTTGA